AAGGTGTGACGATCGTATGCCGCGCAGTTGACTGTAGTAACGGTATCAAATGCCGCACCAAATGGTGATTAGAGTAGGTTTAAATGATGTGCCCGTATCGTCAAACCATTTAGTACATCTCGTATGACTTTAGTGTTTTCAGTGAACCAGTTTTTAATGCACTAAATAATAAGCGAATTAAAGGATTAGAATTGCTCACCTGTTTGAATTTACTGAAGATCTCTTCCAATGGATTAAAAAAGGACTGTGTGGTGGGAGAAATTGGACTTNGTGGACTTGGTGGTTGATATTTATTGCGCATCCAAAGCTCTCCGATGGACAGGCGCATTGTCAAAGATAAAAGCTACTGGGACACCCGGTTGCGACTAGCGTAGAGCAGCTTGACAGGAACCCATTGAAAACATGTCAAGTAATCTTTGTATGACATTCATATTTCAGGATACCGGCGACAGATGAACATACTATTATGTTCAAGTCTTTTGCTGGACGGGAGGCTTCTAATGGCTTTACAACTCACTTTGGATCTTCCATAGCTGCAACACGACCATATGTTGTAATTGGTCTCGTCAATATACAGTCTCAGGATTGCGTTGTCCGATTTGTAATAGCGGAACAATTCAATACTTTAACTAAAATGCTCGTAAAACCAGTCCCATTTTGAGTTCACTTAATAGTTCAATGAATAAATCAATGGGGTCCGGGAACGCACCAGTTCATTTGCGCTTGAGTATGAGGGTTCGTTCATCGATTCATCTTGTCACGGCCAAATATTTTCGAGAAATCGTGGATAATTACCGACGAATCCGTTCATTCTCGCCTGAATTTCAAGAGATCGAGGACCAAGGGGTTATCTTTCTGGGGTTGCAGTCAGCTAGACTTTCATTTCAAAAATACCGTCTTTCTCTCCCCTCCCCTGATAACGAAATCGCATTGTCAGGAAGGTCTAAAATTTGCTGTTTTTTCTGGTGTTGTGTAAACCAAATGATGGAAGACCCTCTGAATAACAAATCTTACCTTTAACAAGAACGTGTTGTCCAGATCAACAATCCGTCTGTCAAAGATGATTGGATGCAGGAACATGGGAGAGTTCCTGTGTCCAAACTCACCTGGCATACTTTTGGTTCACGGCTAAGCGATGACGCACAACAATCGCGCAACACTTCTCATCAAACAGGGGAGCAACCGTCTTGTATCACACTGAGGGACTCCAAGTGGCACAGATGGCGGAAAATTATCCAGTTGGGTTGCAGAATGGTTGGAGAGGAAATCAGCCATTTATAGGCCTAAGTCAGATCCACAAGGGTAATCATATTCGATTTTACGGTCACAATGTACTGTACTAGCATTTTGAGAAGTGACGACTTGTGACGATCCAAACGCCCATCCCGTCGTGTATCTTTCCATTGACCCGTGGATTCACTAGAAGTTGTTCAGTTACACTTTAGTATGATTATGTGCTGTTCGCAATTTTTTTCAAACGCATCCGAGTTCACTTTGGTGGAAGTGATGTATCAATCACTCAATTAGCGCTTGGTTGGTGTAGGCGAAACACTCTGTTGACATTTTTCCACCTTTACGGTCGTGAATGTCATAGTTAATTCAGACAAGATGTTGGCAATCGACTTTTCCTTGTAAATTCTGCTTCTAACCGATAAATCACATGATAGAACCATAGAGGAAAGGGTAGTCAGAAAGGTGAGGATAGTCTTTCTGTATCTTCACTATCGTGATGGTCAGTGAGGTTTAAAAAGAGGATTCCCACGGAATTCGCAACTGCAATAAAGGAATTACTTGGTAAATACGGGAAATGCGCATTTACTGTCGGATCGTTCCAGTAATTATCCTCTGCACTTGTGAGAAATCTGTTTCAAATAAGACATTTTGTTGTATGTATGCCGATTTGCCGATACCTTTATCGTTATTCACCATGAATAACTCTCCTCGTCCCGGGTCTGACTTGCAGATTTATAACAGTACGAGCTTATCAACCTCATGTACTTCTCATGCATTATGTGCTTCAGACTAACTGGTTGATGACGGAATGAAATGCAGTTAATGAAAGTCAATAAAGCAAACTGAATTTGGTTGTTGCAATTTTCGGCAATGTTCTGAGATTTGGTGTAGCGTAAAGATCTGGTCCATAACATTTTCTCAAGCAAAAACGACACACACTACTGGTGATGTGTTCGACTGACAACACAGTGGTTTAGTAGCATAATTGCGAAATCCTTGACCCCCTTGTCGATGATGTTGATGCCTTTTGTATTTTGTGTATTTTGAAATAGGGGGTGGAATTTATAGTATCTACTGTTTGGGATAAATTTCCCTATCTCAGATACGACGGAATGGTGTTGTCAGTGAATCCAGTGGAGTTGTCAGACAAACTTTATAGATTGCCAAGAGACTTCTTGTTTTAATTCGTCATAATAGTGACCAATATTTCTGATCTGTTTGGTGGTTCCAGTTTGACCCGATGGTGTTCTTTACCGGCTGGTGGTGCTGCACGGTTGGATTGAGAGGGAAAACGGTAGTACAGTGGACTGATGTGTTTATCTAGTAGTTGAAGCACACCGATCTCGAATTACATATCTCGTATTAGGAATCACGGATGACACGTAAGCACTGAATCACACTATCCCACGTAACCGAGATACAAGAAAAAGGCGACAGGATTGGCAATTCATTTGTCGCAAGCAGTCATGGGGTTTAAAAAATATATACAAACAAATTCATTGATCACCCAGGCATCTACCAATCGCGTGCTAGTACCTTTGGCTTTGTACAGCTTCTGTTTAGGCTGCACGGCTTCTGATTGGTAAGTACAATTGGCCTATGGTTCGTAATCCAGAAGCTGTAACACGTAAGCGCTTCGCTGATGTCACCTGGGAAGCTTGATTGATCACAGTTGTCCGAAAACTGTAACTTGTCGCTCCGTGGTTTGCGTCATCCCGTAAGCTACGATCACCACAGTTTGGCACATTATTGTAGTCTATACTCATTTCCCCAGTATTATTCGATGGTAGTTTTATAATCTCACAGTGAAGTGGTTTGGAGTTGCACCCTTCAACCGGAGCTTAGGAATCAGAAAAATGTCCCAAAGTTTCCAAAAGTGACTGCAATTTCCATCGTCGTTGAGAATTCAGACAATCTTTTACAAGCTTACAACCTTGCGACCGGAGGGTGGAAATTATGTGAGTTGCTCTGACTTGTGTCCCTCGATTCTAAGCTACCGTGTGGTATTTCTTGAGAGAAATCCTACTTTTTGAACCTATAACTTCTGCTCACTCGATCAAGGCCTCTGCGATAGACGACTGTGAAGCGGTCCATTGCCCATTGTCGAACGGGATCAGGACCAGGTTGTAGGCGATAGTGTTTGGTACAACTTGAACATTATCTCTCAATACTACCTTAGAAACATTCAATTTGTCTTGTGAGAGAGATTTCTGTCACGTTTAATAATAAATCTTGAGTTGATCATTTATGTCTGTGTGAACAGGTCTATTGGAGTCTCCTCTTTCCGCTCCGTCATACACTCAACAGTTGTAGACCGATGAATCCCACAGTAAACATGTCACTTTGTGGTGGATTTATTATGCCATCCTGTCTCAATTGGAATGTCAGACCGGAAAGAGACTTTTTGCGTCAGAGACGGTTATTCTTGACGATAAGCTGAATAGAGTCTGAAAACTTGACCAGGCGATCATCAGTCTCCTACCTTCCACCACTGTTCAGTTTTTCCAGCGTCCGTTGCACATGCTCGTCTGCGGGACCCGTGCCAGTCTCTTGCAACTCAGCTTTCAGTTTTAATTCTGACAACTAGCGGAATATCGTTCCTGTGGGGCTCGATTACCTGAGTTCTAGGGTGTTTGTTGGAAGTAGTAGATGGACTGTTCATAGCCTTTTAAACCCCATGTAGTCCATAATGGTTTTCGTGGCTACTGTGATACATCCAGTAAGATGCGTGTGCCTGAGGTACTTGGATATGTTGGCGGCTCGCGTAGCTCAGATAAACAGGCTATTCCGATATCCCATTCCTTAGACTGAGTCCATCCTAATAATGTCGTCTGTAGTTACAAAACCGTGCCAAAACCATCCTTATCCTATTTTTCCCTCTTTCAAAGACCTCTTTGTATTCAAGCATCGAGTAGATTAGTTCTGTTCTGCGCAAACCTTCTGCACAGTTGTGCTCATGATGAAACGATTCATTCTTCTATTCTGCATTATGATTGGTGAGCAATGTAAAGGTCGCAGAATAGGGGCACTTCAAGCCCTCGTTTCGGTTGGATAATACCTGAATTAGCTTCTCGATTGATAACCTTCCCCCCGAAAAAAATTCTTGAGTTTTTTTAAAAGACAAATACCGGTATCACATATGTGCACCATCGTGAATCCCGAGTTCAGATGGGGTTATGTGCAGTGTCAAATAATGTTCAAATACACATCTTCCTGGGCCATGATTCGGTTACCTTAATCACAGTCTACGTATCCTGCCAAGCACAAGTTGGCAAAAAATGGATCAATTAGGTCCCCATCAAGGATTTGTCCTACTACACTTATTCAAATGACTTGATTCTAGCGCATTTGGCTTCGTTGCATCTGCTGACACCTTGGACTCTATGATTCTATAAATAGCTCCGATAAAGACGGTTTTGCTTAACATACACAATCTGACGGTTGTCCCAAGTTCTGTTTAACGTATGCTCTCTATGACACTTTTAAATCACTCATAAAATTCGGGACAAATATGCAATCGCCTTTAATCAGTTTTCCTAAATGTTTTCCATTTTGTACTCATTTCCTCAGATACGTACTGAAACCAGCATTGTTACGATGCCCGACTAATGCTCGCATTCATCGTTATCCAAAAGAATGGATCTTTAAAGGAATTCCATCTACACCATCCAGTGCTTCTTCTACTGGGTCAGATTCTGACGAAGGAGACGCAGAAGAAACAACTCACTGGTTTTCTCCGTCCGATCCGAATCGATGGCCCATGGTGCCTTGCGCCTGTTGCTATGATCCCTTCGAGTCACAGGCTGGGGGACACCAGCAGTTGAAAAGACTACAACAGGAACGTCACATGAGCGCATTGCGTGCATATCATCAGACTGAAGGCGAAACTCTTCTCCCGTGGAATGTTTCTGTGCATATCATCACATTGTCTGAGATGTTTCGGCATTACAACGAGCGAAGCACGTCTGTGGAAGTTCCCACTGTGTCAGACCCGTCAGCGGTCAGTCCAAGACCGGGCCATAAATTGCCAAGACGATATCAGCGTGCTGCCAGCTCAGCCGCGGCAGCAGCTGCTGCAGCCGCAGCTGCAGCAGCGATGTCAAAGACCACGGATCATAGTCTGCATTTAAATCGCTTCGGCGTCAGTGGCAGTCTTTCCACGGATAATGTATCTCATCCAGGTGAAACAGTCCTGAGCATTCACAACACTGATATTTTACCCAGAAAATCGGATATACAAAGTGAATCTCCTTTGGTTAGCAGGTTTACGTCGGCCTCATCGGCTGAACTCAAAAAGAAATCCTTTTTCATGCAGGTACGTATTTTGAGAGTATCAAGCTTGGATTACCCCATTCGATTGTTCATAGGCACCAGCGCTCTTTATGGTCACAAGCGCTGATGATGTCATCTCGGCTGGTGATGAAACGTTTACAAACAAATTGCCAAACTCGGCGAACAGGCGAAATGGAATTAAGTTCATCCGAGCTACGAGAACTGATTTTCAATACTTTGTCAATAGATGAAATTGCCCCGATTCCACAGAGAATATCTGATCGATGAAACAGTTGTCTGACGAACGAATGTGTGTCTATATTTCAAGCGGCACAGTTCTAATCAACCGTTTCCCTTCTCTGCACTCCCGTATTCTTTAGGTCTGGAAGAGGAAATTTACTATTAGTTAGAGTGAGCGCTAGAATCAATCGATATAGCTCTCATTGTGAAGCTTATTTGGGAGCTTTCGGAACAGTAAAAGATGCCTTCAAAAGCCAGAAACTGCATCAGAATATGCCAGATCTCTAGACCCCCTATCTACGCTTGAAATATCTATTTTTGTACAAAGTGTTATTCATTCGGAAGCTGCTTTCTCGTTCGGTTACGGTGTAATTCATTGTGTCAGATCATCAGGGTGTTCGATCCAAGGAATTTTGTCCACTACAACAAGATGTTTTTGGTCTGTTTGCAGGTGATAATCCGCCTAACTCATGTGATTATCAAGAGGTCAATTTAGCAAACAAGCTCATTTTCGATGCATCATTTACTGGCAAACACAGCAGTCTTTCATAGATCACAAAATCACATAAATAAAAAAAAACAAAAAAAGTGAATCATATCTATGTTTGTATGCATGCGTGTATAGATAATGTATCACGGGGTGTATGCGAGAGTTCAAATCATTCTGCAAGTGTCATTTGTACCGTCGAATGAATCAAATACATACACAATTTGACACTCACTAAATAATCGGCTTTATGTCACTCCTCTGTTTATGGCTGGTCATGAAAACTCCAGCGGTTTAGCTGACTGTTTTTGAACTCACAAGGG